ATACCACCTCCATATCCCAATCCTACACCCCGCCAGTAATGTTAAATTCAAATTTCAGGATTCCAGCTTCATCCGTTCCACCAAATTCAAATTGTACTAAATTTAGTACAGTTGAGTATTTTTCATATACATGAGTACATATTTCCAAAACTACCTCCTTATATCGACCCTCAATCTAGATAACCGTTCACATGATACGTAATTGGAAAAAATGTAATACATTTTAGTACAATTCGTACACTTATAGTGCGAATTTTCAAAAATCCTTTGGTACATCCATCATGCACTCCATCAGTGATCCTAATCCCTAATTTAAAAGTTATAACGGTCTAATAATTCATTAAGTACAAAAGGTATCATACTGAGTACCTTTTAGTACTTTTCGTACCGTTCTGGTTCTTTTCGTAAACTTATAGAATTTCCTAAAACCCTTTAGTATATCCACCGTTCACTCCATCAGTGACCCTCTTTCGAAATTTAAGAATTCTAGCTCTGCTGGTACCTTTTAGTGCTTTTAGTACCGTTTTAGTGCGAATATCCAAAAACACAGCCTTATATGATACCTTCGGACCAAGATTGACCCTCATCCAAAATTTCAAGATTATAGCTTTTTCAAAATATTACTTCTACCCAAATTTTGAAATGCTGTGAATCGCGGCAGTAAAAAATGTCTCCTTTCAAAACTCCTCTCTGATCAGCAAAAAAGAATGAATCATTCCCAAACCGGCAAAAGACATTTTTTCAACAGCGCTAAATGTCCGTTGTTTACATAAAATATTTGTTTTTATTTTTGTTGCCGCGCGGTTTTATTTATTTACCTAATGTTGTTGTTGCTGCCGATGTTGCCATTCTCGCCCGCTTTCCATAGAGTTCCATTAGGGAAGGGTCAGCATTTAACACATGACATGTCGAGAAACACTTGAAACTGAAGAAATAAGTAAATAACCATCATCAACAGCAACAGCAACAACACGAGAAAGAGAGCTTTAAAAGGATAACAAGGATGCCTAAAGTACAAATATTTTAACAAGTGTCAAATACACACGCGTGCTTTCCACTTCTGTTCATTGTCTGCCTTTTTTTCGGGCATTTTCCATAGAACAACACGAAAAAAAGAAAGGACAAGGAAAACAAGAGCAAAATGACAACACATAAGTGTGAAATGTTTATGGACGGGGTTGGAGCGAAGCGGGGGGTTGTTGTGCTGCTGTTCTTTTTCTGGTCATGAGCAAATGCCAAGGATTTGAGCAAACGGCATTTAAAGAATGTGCGCTCAACTGGAATTGTGAAAAGTTGCATTTGTTTTCATCTTTGCTTTATTTCCCATTCAAGTTTTCTGGACCATCAGCTAACCAACAGCACCACCATCACCATCATCGCTACCGCTGCCGTTTGCCGCACCACATAATTCCCAACTTCATCATGTGTCCCGGTTTTTTTATACTTCTGCTGTTGTTGTTGTTGCTGCTGTAGCTTGCTGTCCTTGTAAAAGTTTGCGTGCCAAGTGTTAATGTTCTCGCAGCTCTTGACAAGATTTGCCGCAGTTTTGTGTTACATTCGTGCAATTCTTGTTTTTCCAAAGATTTAACAACTTTCCCCAGAAAAAAGAAGAAAAACTTAAGGTTGATTGTGAATTTCATGTTTTCAAGCGATGATTTTCTCATTTACTGACAGCTTGAATTCAGATTTGTTAAAGGTGATGAATCTCGGAATTCTCACCTACCAGAGTTCATATGGTCCTATATAGACCTATATCTTTAAGAAATAGGTCCGCTTAATTTAGATCATGTTTTTCGTGTAACCACTTGAAGAGTGGGTATTCAAAAAGAAATCTTATTCACTGTTTAAAATTCCACAAGAATAGAACTGGAGTAGGGAAATTTAGCATTAAAAATATCCCGTAGGCAGTTAATCAATCGATATTGGGAGTAAAATATTTCTATTCAAGCACAATTCGGTGGAATAATAGAATGAGGCAAGAATTTATACCAAATTTTGGATATTTACTTAGCAATTGCTATTTACAGCCATAACTAGATTTCGAATGCATTAGTAATTTATGGACTTCGAAATCGTATCCACACCAAATCTTCAATCTATGTTTAAAATATTGCGATATGCAAAGTTTGAATAAAAATGTTTTTATTTTGTAAAAATTTTGCTTTGATTCGGGGAAAATATCATTTGATTCGGCCTAAATGCGCATTATATGTTCCTTTTGGACGAAATCCATTTTAGGGCATTCGGAGTCAATCGAGGCATGACCTTTTGTCGGTCTGGCTGCAATCCACAATAACTCTCGAAGGGGTTATTCGAATTAGTCAAACCTTACAGGGTGAGATGAAAAAACTGCAACCAACTTCAGACTGCTGTCATTTCTAAGTCCGACAGCTGTTAACATTATTCCAGTGACAGCTCATATATTGTTTACAAGCGTACAAAAGCATTTTGATGAGAATTTTCCAGAAAAAAACGTTATTCGTGATGGAATTCAAGCATGGTAGTGTGATTTCTTTATATTTGGCTGGAAACCCTCAAGTGGCTATCATTAGAGCACTCCAGCATTTAAATGTGAATAAATCTTTTGTGTCTCGTGCCATCGCTCGTTACCGCGATACTGGTAGCGTAGCCCACATCAGCAGCCCAAAATGTTTGCGTGCCCAAGGCTTTAATACACCTTCCAGAATATTTTTGCGATAATATTCGGCTTTTATTCTGATGCCACGGTCGTTTAATACGAGCGGAAAGCGAACATCGGCTGTTATTGCGGCCCATAACAGCCATTTTAGTCTTCTAGCCAAGTGAAGACTAATTAACGGCTCAGTATTGGAGAGTGAATACAGATCATGCAGAGTGTGCTCACCCGTGAGCCTCAGTCTGACTCTAAAAAGAGTTGGACATTGACAGAGTAAGTCTCCCGCAGTTTCTATCTCTTCCTCGCCATAGATTTGATGTTGGATGAATTTAGCGCTTTTAGGGCCGCTTGACTATCGACATATATAGTGACCAGTTCAACTGTTTGATTCATCAGCAATTCTACGGCTTTCCTGACAGCAAAGAGTTCTGCCTGGAATACGCTACAATCTTTACTGAGTTTGAATGAGTTCCGAATATTCAGGCTTTCGCAGAAAACACCTGCACCCGTTCCAGTTTCCATCGTAGAGCCGTCGGTATAGATAGCTATAGCGTTGAAAGGTGGGGTGTTCTGGGTACAAGTGTCTCTGCTAGTTATGTGGATGTTTAGGTGATATTAGTTAAAACCCGACCCCCTAAGTTTTCCACATAATTCATTATGACCGAATGTCCATGAGATTGACTACGCCATTGACCAAGTTCATCGAGTCTCAGTGCACATCTCGCTGCTTGTTCCTCTACAAATAGACTTAAGTGTTTCAAGTTAAGTAGGGTTTTTTAATGCAGACTGAGGTGTGTTTCTGAGTACACTTGTAATTAAAAGTGATGCTGCTCTTTGTACTTTATCAATGTTTTTACTGACGGAAGCCTTCCCCAGAGAGTGCCATTAAAATAATCCACCATAAGTCAAAGTCGGACGCACGATTGACTCATATAACAATTTGATGATATACAGCTCTTCCCTATGGAGCTTTTGCAGGAGTAAAGTGCTTTCACGCCTCATTCAGAGCGTTCCTCGATGATCCTCTTCCAGTTCAGATGCTGGTCGAGGATGATGCCGAGATACTTGGCTTCAGACGAAAGATTCAAAGTGACGCCATCCAGCAATGGTGATAAAAATTCCGGGAGTTTCCGTTTGACGACTGCTTGCTTCGGTCTAACCTTCTCGATGTAGGCATGAGAGGATGACGCAGTAGGTAGAAGTGGGGTTTTTTTTTGCCTCAAGGTGTGGTTCCTCCTATTGCATTTTTTCGCAGGTGGAATGGACTCAGTGGGGACAGCGTTTGATTCAGTTCACGGTACAACGGCCCGAGCTGAAGTTCCATCACTTGTAATTTCCCTGTCCTTCGCGGTGCCCTTATCCGAAGGTGCGTTAGCAAGCGGGCCGGCCCTCTTGATAAGGTCGACAATGTGAGAGGCAAGATCCTTATCAAGTGAACACTTTTCGAACTTCCTCACTGCTTTCAGGTTCGCCCTGATAAGGCAGTGGCATCCTGTACCTGGAGGTTAACCGCATCGGTGCATGACGATGGTTTCTTCTCCTGGAGTCTTGACCTCACCGGAGAGCCAGGTTTGGTGTTTTTGGATGGATGGATTTTAAGGATGACTTAGCTCTCTGAGTTGAAGATATGACAATGATGTCTAAATCCTCATCAGAGAGAGAGAGAGAGTTGAGTCATTCCCAAAACCCAAAGGGGCATTTTCCTGACTAAGCCTCAGGGTTTTGGTTTTCTCTAGCTTCGTTTTCCATAAGAAGTTTGGACAGTGGAGGTACCGACGTCCGCCATGACATAGCCTCCATATCATGGTAAGGACTAAACCTGCTACTCGTCGAGGCGCCCAGGTATCGACGAGATTACCCTTCGAATACAGTCGGTACTCTGGCTGCAAACCTTGGAACACTGATAGGCACGGTTTACGTAACGGCCCAGCGTAAGTGAGTCCATTGCGGTGGACCATTTCGTTCACTGGTTAGTAAAGTGGCGCCAGTAGCTTCGCCTCGATGAGTCCAGCGATCATAGGAACTCAGATATTTGGTCCGAGACTCTCCCCCCGGAGACATCTGAGCTGTCCGCGACTGCTTATTTGATTCGCAGCTGCCCGATATATCTATCGGCCGTTCCACTATCCGTAACCTGCGGACGCGTCTGGTCGCATACAGCTATGCATCCAATACATACATAGATATTGGCCGTAAAGAATTAATAGTTGCTTTGGGTTTTAATGGAAAATTTGTGAAAAAAATTTACCGATTTCTATTTTGTAATAAATAAGTAATTAAATATAAAATTAAATGTATTTCGTTTTTAATTCTTCGAGTAGAATGTCAACATAATTCTCCCTTTATTATTCTAATTTAATTTTAGTTACGCTGTAATAACTGGCCTTATTGAAATTTTATCTCGACGATGCATGAAAATACGCGAGAGTATCGAGAATCATCAAAGCGTCGTATTATCCCTGCTAGCCACTCTGGGCTTTATAACCCGTTTCATTGATGTTTGTCCACCAGGTAAGCAAAGTTAAATAAATAATATTTTTTAGCCCTATATCGTATATCACCTCGTAATATATCTTTACTAAAATCTCGAAAATATTTCATAATTTAGCATCGAAAAAAATCTTAAGTCAAATTTCTCAAAATCCTCTTACGCCGTGTATTTCTTCTTTAATATCCTGTTTTCATTACTGAAGAATACCTAAATGACCCTAACAGACTTATGAATGAAAAATGTCTTACATTAATTTCTTCTACCCTTAATGCAACATGGCTAGTCCTTTTCTCAAACTGACTGACTGACTGACTTTCGGCTAATTGATGATGACTCAAAAGATTCCAACATTCACTGACATTCACACCTTGTGGCTAATTTGTTTCTTTTTTATTGACAGACAGTCAGCATAATTTTCACCTTTCTCCTTCTGTGCCTTGAATGTGTTTTTGCTATTTACCACCTTACACTCATTTTGTTTTCTAATTCTTTATTCCCTTTTATTTTTTATGCCCTTTACAACAGGACCTACGGATCCGACACGTTTCCTGAGTGCGGCAAAGTCAACAGAACTCTTTGGTTCCATAGCCATGCTGTATGCCACTGTGGTGCCCATAGGTAAGTTGAAGTTGTAAATGGAGAAAGGCAGTTTGATTCGATTAGTTGCATCGACACACTCGACAGACGGACGAAGTAACCCATAAGCGAAGGCCGAATGACGTGGAAATGAGTCATATTATTTTGGGTGTGTGTTTGTCTGTTTGCGCCTTACATTTGATTCTAATCAAGTGCAAAGTGCATCTCTGCCCAGAAAAAAGAACGAATTTATGTCGGAGATAATTCAAAAGATTTATTGCCTGACTAGAAGGGGGGCTGCTGCCTCACTGGCCGGACGGTTGAACGGCATGACGTGAGTTTTTCTTCAAAACGGAAATTATGAAGATTTTCTAATGGTCGCGCCGCCCTTCTTTGGCTTGGTTTATGAGTTTATGATTCCATATCCGTTTTAGCTGCTTTCTTTGTTGGTACTTTGTCCATTTGTTGTTTGGACACTTGATGTTGACGGAAAAGACAAGACAAGTGACGTGTGTCTTATCATTGTTTTTATACCTTCCTCATTGACGTTTCCTTATTCCTTATTTTTCCTGCAGGTGAATGCATTCCACCGAGAACGATTTCGTTAGCGGCAGCAACATTTAATTTACTCGTATCCATGGCTGTGTTGGATTTAGCAACGTTCCAGGTAAGTTTGAATTGGAATCTAATTTATCTAAGGCAAAGTGTGGGTAAAATATTCCGCGAGAGTTTTATTTACATACAAAAAATGGTACAATTTGAGATTATCTTATAAGATGAAGTAATTACACAGTGCAACACAAATAATATTTACTGAGAAAATTCAGCAGATTATGAAAGAAGAGTTAAGAAGAGAAGACACGTATATTGGCGTTTTGAAGGTTTACATCCAAAATAACCTAAATAGAGGGGGACAAGTTACCCCCTCTTCAATATTTTTGGAAATTTTCGCATTAAGTTTCCTCGAAATCCTTGCATTTTAGATATATAGTGTCTCATGGTCTGATCGAAAATTTTAACCCTTAGGCGATTTGACAAAGGGTACTTTTTGGTCCTTTTTTGAGAATATGTTTAAAACCCCTTTTGAATGGGATCGTAACAAGTCAAAAAAATCGAAAAAATATCTACATATGTAAAAGTGAAATGAATGAATGACTGACTAACCGAGAATCAGCGCCAAGAAGAAACGTCTGAAGCTAGAAATGAAATTCTGCACGAGGGTCAGTCATGGCGCGTGGGCGTGTGATAAGACTAGGTTTTTGGAAATACTTAGTTAAAGGGTACGAAAGGTACAAAAAATTTGAATGAGATTCACTGATGGAGTGGATGATAGATGTAACAAAGGTTTTTTTGGAAATTCGAACTTTGAGGTTACAAAAAGTTCTAAAATGGTACTAAACTTCTAAAATCGTACAATTTAGTATTATGTGAACAAATCGAGCTAAAAACTTGACATTCGGCATCAGAATCAAGTTTGAACAGTATGTGAAGGTTTTGGAAATATGTACTAACTGTGCGAACTGTACTAAATAGTACTAAATGTTGAACAGAGTTGGTTTAGGGCGAACGAATGAAGTCGGAATTTTGAAATTTTATACTGGGGTAGGTTTGTGATAAAGAGGTAATGGTTTTGAAAATGTGTAATACAAGTGCACGAAAAGTACTAAATAGTACTATACTTGATACAATTTGGTATTGGATGAACAGATAGTGCTTGAAATCTGTAATTTGGTACTTGTGTCGCTGTTTATATTTCGGAAATGTGTACTATAATTGTACGAAAAGTACTATATGGTACTGAACTTGGTATTGGTTTAAGGGATAAAGCTGAAATCCTTAAATTTGTTATTTTGATTACTATTGGTATCTGTATTTGAGAGATTTGGTGGTGATTTGGAAATGTGTCCCATATTAGTACGAAATGTACTAAATTTGGTATTGGGTGAAGGGATAGGTCTGGAATCCTCAATTTTGATGTTGAAGTCTCTGTGGGTATCTGTAATTGCGATATGGAGGTGGCAAAATTTTTACTAAATTTCTACGAAAAGTGATAATAGAGCTGGTACCCTGAAATTTGATATAGATGTCAGTGTGGGTGTCCGTGGTTAAGATATGGAGATGGTTTTGGAAATTTGTACCAGAATTGTTCAAAAAGTACTAAATGTTATTAAATTTGGTATTGGCTAAAGTGATAGAGCTGGAATTTTAAAATTTAAGATTCGGAGCTGGATATGAGTACTATAATTGTACTACATGGTATTAAGTTTGGAAATGGGGAAAATTAGGTTATTAGGTGGTGCTTTTGCAAATGCGTACTATAATTTTTCTAAAAGTACTAATAATACTAGATTTAGATCACTGTTGATGTCTAGGATAGCGAGATGTAAATTGTTTTGGATATGCGAAGGAATAAGACTGAAATTAGATCGAGTTCGGAGGTGGTCAACATCGGTCCACTCCTTCTGGTACCACCCCACACAAAATGTCAACATATATGGATATGCTCCAGCTTTGTGAATCCTAATATTTATACCAGTGCTAGGTCAAGTGGGAAAATGGACAATATCGGTTTACTCTATCAAGTACCTCCCCCACAAAAGGTCAAAATTTTGAGTAATTATAACTTATCAAATGCGATTTAAGTATCTGATTGTCTTCAAATTACACACATAACAAAATTGTTATTAACCCAAGGTCTGGTGTGAATTTGAAATACATCAGCCCCCTTCGTCTGCTACCTGCCCCACAAAGGGGAAAATTTTGAATATCCATGAGTCTCATAAAACTCGAAATTAACATCCGATTCCATTCAGACTTGGTACATATAAATATTTCCATCAATACAAGATCTGTTAAAAAGATGGTGGAGATCGGACCATTTCTTTTGGTACCTCCCCCACAAAGGGTTCAACATTTTGAAAAACAAAACGCTCATAAAGGGCGAAATAAGCATTCAACTCTCTTCACACATCCAAATATTTTTGCTAACGCAAGATCTGTTGTGAAGATGATATATATCTGTGAATCCCTTCTGGTACCTCACCCACAAAGGGTCACAATTTCCAATACTTGTATCTGTCATAACTTGCGAAACGAGTCGGCGATATTTTACAACCAATATTTTAATTTGTATTAGATGAAGTATGAAAATGGAATACTTCGGTCCGCTATATCTGTTACCTCTGTTCCAAAAAATTGCACATAACTCATATAAAGTATAGGAAGTAGTCGACATAGTACAAACCTGGCACATTGTAATATCAAGTCAGATACGAATTGGTCAATATTGTCCAGCTGCTTTGAAAACTATAAAGGGTCAACAGTTTGAATAACCATAACTCAAAGCTGGGGGGTATACATCTGTAGGCAAAACCGACTGATGTTATTTTACTTGTTTTTAGTACTGAAAGGGCCTAACACGAACTCTTGGAACCAATCTAAAATTTGTAAGTGGACACTTGCAAGTCCAAATATATTAATAGATTCATCCGTTCATGTAAGTTTTAAGTGTTATAGATCTGGAGAAAATCCATGTCAAGGGGTATAGTGGTTTAAGGTATACATGGTCCGATTCATCCGACATAATCTTTTGATTATCTCTTTTAGAGAATTGATGTACTTCATTTCAAGACTTGTGTTAGAGAAACCCATATTTATTGACAGAAAAAAAATTAGGTTTTAAATGTCGGCACTTAAATACGGCTATCCTTCCACAAACCTACTTTTGGTAATACACTGGGGATTCAAAGCACACTTACACACCCCTAAACATCGTCGTGGGCTCAAGCATATAAAGTTTATCTTTTGCTACTCCGCTGAGTAACCGCACCCACGCACAAATTTCGCCTTTACATCAAGACTTCAAGTCAGTCGGTCGGTCGGTCGTCCCTTGTCAATATTTATCTATTTGTGTGCCGGCCGTAACACTCGTATTTGCTTGTTAAGCCAAATGTTTATTTACGTTTCACTTTTTTGCCGCTTCTCGTGTGTCTCTCTTTTGCATTGCCAAATTAACGACTGAGTCATTGTTGCAGCGGGGCACTGAAAAACACAAAAGACAACAAACATCATGCACAACAACAGGAACATCATGACGAGGATGATGATGGCAAGTAGGTAAACTAATTATGGTTGTTTGGTCTACAGCAGCGGCCACTGGACGGTACAAAGGACACGGACTCATCATACATGTATTGCCGTTCTCTGTATCCACCCATCCTCCAATACCTCTCCATGTACCCAAGTAGACAGATCATAATTGAAGAATTAACCAAGCGCGACAACCAATTGTTGGCCTAAAATAAACAAAAGCTCTGCGCAAATCAAACAATTCGTTCAAAGGGAATCAAATCAGCTCCCAATTTTTTTGTTGTAAGGATACTGTTGTTATTGTTTTTCTTCTTCTTGGAATTAAAGATTTAATAAATAATGATGAACACACAATCGCAATTTTTTCTAAAGAAAAGGAGATTGAAAGTTATTTTAATGTGTGTTCTGTCAATTCCTCAGAGATATTATTAAGATTAGTAGAATATTTGTGGTAATTAGTTTTTGTGTACGTTTTGGTTTTGTAAACGCAATTGCTGTTTTAAAATATACTAGACCGATAAAAAAATAAAGTCATGCCTTCCATATCGGGACTATACCTAAATATGGTTCTTTACCCCCAAAGAAGCCTAAATATAAATTGTTAACCAAATCGATTGCAAACACTAACCAAGACCCTTTAAATAAGTAAAATAAGGGGTTAACTTTGTATAGGAGCTATTCCGAAACATTGACCTATATTGGTTTTTACCTATGGAGGTTTTCTACCCTCTTTGAGATCAAAGTGCCAAATATCAATTGAAAAATGTTGCCACGACCCAGGAAGAAGCTGAAATCCGGGTATACCTTCATAGAAGGGTTATACCAAAACGTAAACGAAGGATTATACTAAAATTACCAAAATTTACAGAAATTAGTATAAACAAGTAAAAAAGCTGTAAGTTCGGCCGGACCGAACTTTGAATACCCTCCACCATTCGGAACGGATTTGGCAATTTACAAAAAAAAAAAAAAAAAAAAAAAACATTAAAAATTCTGATAACATATTAAAATACCGAATGTAGCTGTTATATTAGGTACGACGATGCTGACCTGCACAGACAAATTTTTGTCATATGCTCTAGTATCCATTACGAGCTTCAAATGCCAACGCTAAAATCACCGAAATACCGAATATCGGGAGCTACTGTTATATGGGGGCTATACCAAGACGTGGACCTGCACAGACAATTTTCTGTCTTAGGCTGTAGTATCCGTTAAGAACTTCAAACACCAAATTTGAAACATTTCCGGTGAATAATGTCGCTTAAATCAGCAAAATACCGAAAATAAGGAGGTACAATTATATGGGGGCTATACCAAAACATGTTACTTCATGACCTATTTTCAATACTAAAAGTCCTGCAGACATAATATGCATTTAAGTAAAATTCTATTAACCTATTTCATTTCGTTCGGAAGCTACATCGACTTAGAATTTTATGCTGATCAAAAATATGTATACTTTGTGGGGTGTAAATTCGAGGTGTAAAAAACGAAATGATAAACTTAATATACCCTCCATACTATGGTGGAGGGAATAAAAAATTAAAACCACTAACAATGATATATTGTGATATT